AAAGAGAAAAACTACACGTTTGCAAGATCGCTACATCGTCAACTGTGCTTTACGTAACCGCACCACAACTGCAAGAGATCTACAAAATACACTAAGGACGGCTACTGGTGTAGAAATTTCCGACCAGACGGAAAGAAATAGGTTGTTGGAAGCCAATTTGAGATCACGCCGACCAGTTCGGGCTGTACGTCTAACAATTCAACATAGACAAGCTCGCCGACAGTTCGCGCAAAATCACGCTAATTGGCAACTTCGACATTGGAGGACAGTGCTTTTTACTGACGAATCACGATTCCGTCTAACACGTTGCGATGGTCGTCTCCGTGTTTACAAACGCCCAGGCGAGCGATACAGTGCAGCAGCAGTCCAGGAATATGACAAATTTGGATGTGGCTCTGTGATGGTTTGGGGCGGAGTTAGTTTGGACGAGCGCACAGATCTCGTCGTTGTTCCCGGGCGCTTGTGTGCTCAAACTTACATTGAAAATGTGCTCGAAGATCATGTTTGGCCCGCAGCATATGGTATGGGCCCAGATTTTCTTTTAATGCAAGATAATGCCAGGCCGCATACTGCAGCCATCACGTCAGATTACTTACGACAGCAGGAAATCCGTGTAATGGAGTGGCCTTCCATGAACCCTGACCTAAATCCAATTGAACACATTAGGGACTTGCTTGACAGGCGCATCCGGAAGCGTCCGATTGCACCTCAAACACTGCAGCAGCTCACTGAAGCGCTGATTGAAGAATGGGAGCGAATTCCACAAGAAGATATTCGGAGGATCATACGAAGCATGCCGCGTCGTTGTCAAGCCGTGATTAGGGCTCATGGAGGCCACTAACGTTACTGAAAGTCACTAAAGACGAATATTCAAACGATATAAGAATATTTCTTTGATGGACCTTTTTATCACCAATTAGTTTTTCGTCTACAATGCACATTTTAATTTTTTTTAATAAAAAAAATACAAATTGAATTTTTTTATTAATTGTAGTAATTAACAAATTAACAAGGTAAAAAATAGCGTACAAGTTAATTTAAATCTAATTTTAGTTTAAGCAATAGAAAGGAGAAAAATCTTGTTCCGCTAATTGTTTTGAGCAGTATATAATAAATTATAATTATAATTCTGGTTGCTGTAAATACAGGAACTGGTGCGAATCTCAGTTCGATTGAGCGGTCGAACCAAGCAGAAGCCTTTATACAGTAGACTCTAATGTCGACATTAAATGGCTGATGCCAACAAACCAATCTACGACAATAAGAAGAAGTATTGGAATAATATAATTGTTGTAACGAAGCAAGCATTTTATTATACAACAGAATCGAATTATGAGAATTCATCACACAAGTGTAATAAAAATTAAACTACCCTCATTTAAGATCACCTCGGATTCATCATACCTACCTAGAAATAGTTGCAAATAATTTTAAATGAAAAACAACTTTATTTTCTCTTGTATTCAATATAAAAAAAAAGTTATTCCTTTACTTTGTGAAAGTTTTTACCGTTAAAGTACATATAGTTAGGGGTTCTGTTACTACCTTCCTACCTATATTTATATAAATAAACCATAATTAAACTTATTTTAGCCAAATATTTTTTGCCTGTATATTTTTACCAGGCGCTGAGGGGTATTGTAATAGCATCGAGGATGGAAAACCCAGGAAGAAGCAAATAGGAAGCAAAATATGAACTAGGTATGAAATAATCGATAATTCATTATATCTATTATATATATATTCATTCAGCCATTCTGACGTCAGAATGGACGGTCACTAAAATTGTTGTGGTTCTCCCAAGATACTAAGGAAGCAATTGTCTTGTAGTAGGAATTAAATAGAAGCAATTGGGAAGTAATTCTTAAACGACATTTTAACCTTCTACACCACTAGTGACCAGCCATTCTGACGCTCACCCCACAAACTGGGGTTTAAGCTTGTATTGACCCCACCTACATGTCCCATAAATAAAATTGCGTCCTCTAACAAATGTTCAGCAAATGTAATATTTCAATGGACTATATTATTATGGCGGCAATTCAAAATTTAATCTGAATTTAATTTTGTTTCAAAATGTGCTGAAATAAAAGTTGTGACGCGTCAACTAGGCAAATAATTGTTAATTTACATATACATGTTGATCGTAAGTGGGCGTACAGACGAATAGCTGAGAATTTAAATTGTTCTCTTAAGAAAGTTTTTAATATAATTGAGCATTATAAAACATGGAACTGTTGAAAATGTTCTTAGGCTTAAAGGCTCGGCCAAGAATAATCTCGCCCAAAGAAGCCGCCCTTCGTGCTGCTAAAAAAGATTTCAAGTAAAGGCTGCAAAACAAACTGCATGTTGCAGTCAAGACCGACTGCAACATGCAGTTTGCTCAGGAACTGCTCGAGCGGTCCGTGGTGTATTGCGAATATGAATTTAATATGGAAACTGCAGATCGCCGTGCGGCGACCGCTTAGAGCAGTCTGTATCGGCTGCAACATGCGGTCCGTCTATGGCCCGCTTAAGATTAGTGGAAGCTAAATTGTTTGGAAGAATCTCTCGAAAGGTACAACTTCTTACCAAGCAACACCGAAATATTATTCGCTAAACAATATGTTAATTGGTCGGTACGAGAATGGAAAAAAGTGTAATTTTCAGATGAAACAAATAAATATGGTAAATTCCGATGGAAAGCGCTATGTAAGACGAACGCTTTAAATTATAAATACACAAGGAGTATAGTCAAGGTTGGGGGTGTTTTTCCGGATGTGGAGTTACCTTCGGACGATCATTTGCCCGTAACCTGGATTTTTCAGCATGACAATGGCCCGAAACACTCGGCCAATAGCTAAATGTTGCCTTAGCGTACAGCGTATAGCCGTTTAAGACTAGGCCAGCAAACTACATATGTGAAGCATGGACTTCAATCCCCCTAGAAAAATGTATGAAATTGATTGAATCAATACCACGTCATTGCAGTGCTGTTATTAACTATTGGTAGGCTGTGGATAGTAGCTATTTCGTAAATAACGATACTAATACTTAAAAAATATTATTTTTATTACTTTTTGAAGTGAAACTTAGCTCTAAGCGCATGATGTGCAGCGATTTTGTCGAAGAAAAGGGAGAGAGCGATTGAGAGAGAGTGAGTAGGGTGAATTACCTTATAGAAATTCTATTTTTAAAATTAAAATTTCGTGAAGAGAATTTATGAAATATTAGTATTTTATATTTTATGCAAAATAATTGATTGAAATCTCAAATTACGAATTGTAAAACGCCACGTTTTTATGATCGAAGAAATAAATTAAATTCATAATTTGTATTAATTTTCGACAGTTAATATTTTAATGACAATACATTAAATTCCTAACATAACTTCCTTTTTCCCTCCTCTCTCTCTCTCTCTCGGAATTCTATCTTAACTAAATAAAGCAAATAATTACTTAAAAATATTTTTTTTATCCAGTTTTTTTTTAATTCGGCCGGATACCGCATATCCGTTTCATCTCTACTTTTTATCATAAATCCAAAAAGTTATAGGAAAAAAGTGAAAACATTTCCTTTGGATTTAATCAAAAAGTTATGTCAGAACAATCTGTAGAGGATCTCTTTCTGAAGATTTTCCTCTATATTTTTTTTTAATTTCGTTAATTTGAAACGCTGTAACAGCGCTCCAAAGTTTGGGTTTTTCAATGCTCATGACAACCCGGAAAAAAAACATTTTTACCTTACTTTTATGATCTCTCGTTTATTTTAAACATATTTTCATAAATTTTACTTCAATCCATACAATTTTACTTATTTATTACCGACTCTTTTCCTTACTACAGAACTTAAAATAACTTGTTTCTTACAATAATTTCTAAGAGGAGCGTACATTTTCGAGAATGTTTAATTACCGTTTTGATGGCTACTCTCAATATCCTGATATTGTAGGAAAAAAGTCGTGGGAACGCTTGCGCCGCACCAAAAAGCACAAATCGACAGTAATTAAATTTGGTAAAAGAACCGTACCAACAATATCGCAAGAAAAAAATATGAGTAATGTAAAAAAATAATCAAATTTCATAGACCTATTAAAAAGTGCTCTGACAGAGGTGGGTTTTTGTGTTGACCAGGCTGAACCAGATGCAGACACTGTCTTCGTCTTTACTGCACTTCTTGCATCTCAGTCCTGCGATTCCGTAACTATCGTAGCAGAGGACATCGACATCCTTATGTTACTCACGGCATTAGGGAGGAAAACGTCAAATGTTTTCTTTTTAAAACCTTCAAAAGGGCATACGTCTGACCAGTTATAATGGGTGGAGCAAAAGTACTGGCACTAAAGAAAATTTGTTTATTTATTTATATGACATTTCCTGTCCTTCTGTTGTTGAAAATTGTGTAGTGAACAAATGTAAAATACACTGAAAATAAATATGGACCGTTTTACTCCCCAAGAACGTGGAATAATCGTGTCATTGTTCTTACGGTATAATTCATCAGTGATAAAAACAGACGGTGAGGAAAACGTGAATTTCGTCGACGATTTCCTCACCGTCCGGCACCGATTGGTCGCACAATCCGACGCTTTGCCACACTCCTTGAAACAACTTTTCTTTAGTGCCAGTACTTTTGCGCCACCCAATATATCCTTTTTTTTATGCATGGAGATACCATAGCAGAAAATTTGCTGTTTCTCCATGCTTTTGCAGGATGTGACACAACATCAGCCGCCATGGCAACTAAAATTCATAAAAATTCTGGATATATATCCTGAGCTAGCGCAGGTGGTACAGCGCTATTCATCAATGATAAAGTAGATCCATCTTTGCTCAGTCTCGTTGGCCAACGTTTTCTCATTTCTTTATACGGTGGCAACAAGGACGATTCTCTAGACACTATGTGAGATACAAACGATTCTCCAAGACAGTATCAAAAAATTCATTCACTTTATCATCGCTTCCTCCAACACAGGATGAAGCCCGTTTTCACAGTCTCCGACTGTATCACCAGGTCCAATCATGGCTTGGAAATACAATAATACTGAAGATTGGGGCTGGAAAAAGCATGAAAACATTTGGATGCCAATTCAAAGTACGAAGCCTCCAGTATCCCCTGATCTTATGAATTTAATTTTCTGCAGATACAAAGGAAACTGTGGAAGCATGTGCGGTTGCCGAAAAGCAGGCCTCAAATGCTGCGCAGTGTAACCGATATTGTTCTGGAGAAACCTGTACCAACATTATGGAAATAACAAAATTCATAGAAGAAAATGAATTTGAAGAAGAATTGGCAATAATGACTCCAACTTTAACTCCTGTCATTCCCCAAACCTTCACATTCGACGTTGAATTAGAATCGGAGCCATAACCATCGAAGATGAGTAAAATGGAATAGCGAGCTACCCCACTCTAATAACTGATTTAAATTGAAATTCAATAATTTGAAAATGTCTGCACTATTGTGTCTTTTTATATCCAGGGGCCTTGTCGTATGATACAAATGTAATATTCTTCTTCTTCAAAGGCAGAATGTATTTTTCTTTCAGGAATTTTGAACATTTGGGGATCTCTGAAATTATTGAGATTTATAATTTTAGTATAGTAGAAAAATACAAATATATTACAAAATTTACCTATCTTAACTTATTTATCGTTTTCTGTTCGACTTATCTCTGCTGGAGACAAGACATGATCAAGACTGCATCGAACAATTGGTTCTAGGATAAAAATGATATTTTTAATGCTAAAATAATCAAAATGTTTACCTTAGATCATCTATTTACTAGACTCTTCGTTCATCTCAGCAGCATATGTTCTAGGTTTCGTCAATACCATCCGTTAATCCGTTGTGTAGTTTCAAAGATTTAAGCATACAAAGGGACATAGGGACAGAGAAAGCGACTTTGTTTTATACTATGTAGTGATGATAACATAGTACAATTTCGGTTCCTATATTTTTATAAAATATATTGATATAACATTAAGGTTTTGCATAAAAACATTATTCTGCTTTACACAAGTATTAAATACCATCATTACATACATGATGGTTTAAGTACTTATTAAGCTTTTTTAAATTTATCGTTCATAACTATTACTTTTTACAAACTAATTAAAAAATATATTAAAATAAATATATTTGTCTACAAAATAAAGTAGATGTTATTGATTAGCTCTATGTGAGGCTGGGTTTGAATTAGTTTTTATTATACTTAAGAATGTTTTACTGAAAGTTATTTTGTAGTGTGTTAAAAGTTTACTATAATCATTAAATTAAATGTGTAAGTTATTATATTGTTCTTTTATTAACCTATAAAGTAACATGGCTTATATATTTTTCATTTCGGCTTAGCTATGTATTTAACTCGGTTACTACGTTTTCTATAGGCAGTCATTAAATAAGTGGTAGATTTAATTAATCATTTTATTAATAAATATTATTAGATACAAAAAAAATATTATGAAGTACACAATTATCTTAAACACGGTATTACAATTTTTCATATAAAAATCATAGTTGTCCAAACTGCATTCAAAATAGATTAGTGGTCTCTGTTTAATATCTCTTCTTAACATTTCAATAGGTAATTGGTCATTTTCTTCCTCATTCTTGACAACTACCGCTGATGACTGTAATACAATGGTTATCTGTTAAAATTGTAAATAGGGAAATGAGGTAGGTCACTGTACTGATACAATAATATTAATTATTAATAAATTAATTATTAAAAAGGAAAATAATAAAAAAACTTGCATAAAACACACAAAAACTTATATATGGGATATCTTTGTATTTCTAAGTAAAGTATCTTAAAAACATGTTTGATAATATTATAACTAAGCCAAATATTATAAAACAGCATTTGATTCAGTACTATGAATAGAAAAAATCTTGAGCAAACCTATATTTAGACTCAAAAATCCAAATCCAAGTATGTACCTACTTTAAAAACAATTATTTATTAATGAAACAAATCCAAGACCCATAAAGGGTATGTTTAGTGCTAAAGTGTAGTCAGCAGCAATAACTATCTTTTGATTGCTTCTATGTTTATTAAATAAGTTATGGCAATGTCATTTCCAACATTTAAAATTAACGTTGATCACTTGAAATGGTATGAATTTGAGCAATTGAAAGCTTATATATTTGATCCAACATACCTAACATGATTATTTATACTTGTATTCTGAAATCTGAACAATTAAATTAAATTCAACTTGATCAGTTAAAATTAATACTTCTCATATAGGACCTAAAAAAATTTTTTTATTTGACATTTTTAACCAACAATTTCATTATTCTTTACAATGTTGCTTCAATTTAACCTATTACATTTGACTTCAAATTTGCCATCAAACAAACTTTGTTAACTGTTTTTCTAGACACTACTTATTCCTATTTATTTACTATGATAGTTATTATATTTCTAAAATAGTTTTAATAGAATTAAGTTTTAATGAGTGTTAGTAAAAACATAGGTAATATTGTTATTGTGTGTTTCACCTCTGAATCACTTAAAAAGGTTGCAATAGTAGTTTCATGGCATCTAAAAAGTACCAACACTTGCACTTACACAAATGAATAAATATATAAACACAAATTTTTCTTCTTTATAGATAGGTACCCTTTTATTTTATAATTACTCAACAAAATATTATATAAAAACATTGGTATTCACCTTTAGAAACATTTTGAAAATTTAAGATACCTATCCATCCTGTTTAGTTTGAATCCTCGGGGTCAAGGTCGTAAAATGCGATGACCCCATACCCACTAAAACCACCAGGCCCCAATCCATAGTGCATGTAGAGCCGGGTCGTGGTAGAAGCCAGTAGGCTTCTATCCACTTCAGCAGCTCTTCAGCAGCAGTAAATGAAAAAAGAAATTAACATATGTAAGCAAAATAAGCAGTATAGCATAATAAGCAATATAGCAAAATAAGAGTATAGTAAAGTATTATTTTAATTTATAAATATATTTAATTGCTATAAGTAGCTCCTCAAAGGGATCTTTTTTATATTTCTTATTGTTTCGCCGCCATAGGTATTCGTATAAATGATCAGTGAAATTTTCTGTACTATAAAAATTATAATTATCTTTTTTAAAAAATCTCTTAACTGCTCTCCATTGAGACTCAATTCTTTGAGTATGTGTTCCATCTTCAGCCACAAAGGGGTTGTCTGGATTCGAGTGGTTGACCTTCTTATGAAGGTATCCATGCTCAGGCCTCAGACAAGCAATCGTATGCTCGCCAGAAGTCAGTGTGGATGGTCGTGCCAACATCGACGGCTAAAGTAACGGCTTTTTAACGGATATTTCGCACATTATCACTGTTCACACAGGTTATTTTAAAAAAATATTAATATACTAACCTAAGATGATGGTCGTCCTCAAAAGCAGGTCTACCAAGCGTTGTGCTTGTAGACGGTTCAGGTTCAGGTTCAGTACCACACCCATGTCCACTATTTTGAGACGCCATTACACGAAATCTGAAAATGATCGCAAGAAATCAGTGTCTAGTATGTATATAAAGCCAAGTTTTAAAAAAATGCTAATAAAATAACGCACATTCAAGCAAAAATAAAAAAATCTAAAAAGTAACGGCTTTTAACTGATATTTTGCACTTGAATACTGTGAACACACACTGTTCTGGCAAAATCCAAATTCGAAATGGCCGATTGCGTTTATACTTTAATAGCCCATTTACATTCGCGTACGAGTCGCGAGGCGAGGGACGAGGCGAGGGGCGAGGTGCGAGTGTGAACAGACGCTCGTGGCTCGCCTCGTCCCTCGCCTCGTCCCTCGCGGCGCTCGCGTCCGGAGCGGTTTTTGGGGCACGAGTCAAAGGACCTCGCGTCGCACGCGAGTGGGTGTTTACATTCGCCCTCCCGCTTTATTCTGGCTTCTACATCGTGCCGCGCAGGTTGTGTTTAGTTTTAAATACGCAAAAACAAAAACGCAGTAATCGTATAAAGGATTGGTCGCAAGACGAAACATTTAAGTTCATAGAACAATTTCAAAAAGAACGAATAATTTGGGACCCTAAACATAAATGCCACAAGAACAGCCAAAAAGTTAGCGATGCATGGGCGAGATTGTCCGAAATAATGGGAAGATCTCAAACAGAATTAAAAAACAAGAAAAAATCTCTCATGGCTACATTTCGCCAGCTACTCCGGCGCAAAAAACAATCAGTAAGGTCCGGCGCAGGAGAAGATGATATTTACAAGCCAGTGTGGTTGTATTACGATGCTATGGAAACATTTTTGGCATCCATTTACGAGTGTAACACCACAGTGAGCACTGAAGAAAGACAAGTAAGTAAAATAAAACTAAGTACATATTTGTTTAGTTAGGTTTATTCAAGTAATTAGTCAGTTCAAGTAATTAGTCATCTTCAATAAATCATCATCAAGTAGGTATAGACAGATGACGCTAGTCGGTAGATGGCGCTAGTATATCGTTACTGCTGAACAGATATGGATGAAACTTTTGCGATGAATCGATATCATCCACCATCTTCTTGGGCGCCACCGCCGTTTCTTACTACTTTCCTTTTATTTAAATTAGTGACGTAGCAGTATAAGCCCAGTACGCACAAACTTGTTGCTGCTAAAACTTCGACGTCCTCCATTGTTGCTAGCTCAAAGACGACTGAACTCGGCACGCGAGTGTAAACAGGCAACTCATTTACCATCGATCAACACGAGCCTCGCACGAGGGACGAGGCGAGCCACGAGGCGAGGGACGAAGCGCGAGTGTAAATCCCGTATCAACAATGAATAGTAGAGAATAGAGATGTGAAAAATAATCTATTCTGTGAAAGTGAAAAAATCGATTATTTTAGTATTCGATTTTGAATCCGATTTTAAATCCGATTTTGTTTTCGATTTCGAGTTTCAGTTGAACAGTTATTTAAAAACAATATTAATATACGGTTAGTATATTAATATTTATATAACCTAACCTATCTAAATAATATAGAAATTTTACCTAAAAATAAAATTTGTATTATGTTTCCTAAGACGTCCGAGGTCCATTATGAGAGTACATCGTTTCCTTTTCCGCCCAAATCGCTAGTATCCGACCTTTTCCCACCACGTGACACCGCCGCCAGCGCCCAGCGATTGAAACTGGAACTAACTTTTTATCGCGCTAAAGCAAGCCGCCAGAGTTCTTGTTCATTGTTTGTCTCAGGGCCGCGCCGCCCATGTGTGCGAAGTGTGCGGTGCACACAGGCGCTGATACAATAAGGGCGCCGCCACCGAAATTATTTATACTACACTACAATATTCTTACGTACGTTTGAAGTTTCATTTTACGCTTTAGGTTTTAGTTTACATTAATTACTCAGAGCTTAGCGAAT